GCTTGGTTCAGTCACGAAATGCAATTCAGGCACAGGTATAGGTAAAAACTTAACGATTAGATCTCCACCGAAACAGAGAATTCACAGATGCTCGATTCAGTCACGAATGGAACTTACTCCTAATAGAATAATGAAGAGCAATCAAATTCAATCAAGAACAACGAAGAAAATCGATTTTGAGTTGGAAACGCAACTACACATAAAAAAATCTCCATTCAAACAAATAAGACACTAATGCGAGTTCAAATACCATCGGTAAGGATCGGAAATCTTGACGCCGTGATAATCGTCGACAACAGACTCGTCTCTCCGAGGAATCAGATATTGCAGCGGCTGGTCCAAGGCAGAGAGCGATCCCATTGAATCTAGCTTTTGAGAATTTTTGGTTGCTGTGGATTTGAATCTGTTTGGCTGAAAATCTGAGCGAAGGAGCACTTATAAATACGGGAGAAGGAAAGGGAGACATTGGAGACGGGACGTAGAGCAGAGAATATTAATCGAGAGCATGAGGTGAGTGTGGCGTGCGCATAAAGGTCTTCCATTTGGGTAAAGGAAATTTCAACGCACGTTGTTTACTTTGTTGTCATGATTCTTTGAATTTTTTGGGTGCCGTCCATTAATCCTGTTTTTCTAAACTGAACTTTCAATGAGGTTTTCTTGATTCTTTGGAATTTATAGGCTACGAGGCTTTTTTTCTCTGATTCTTTGGTTCTTTAATCCTGTTTTTCTAAACTGAACTTCCAACGAGGCATCTTTCTCTGATTCTTTGGAATTTTGAGGCTCATTAGTCCTGCTTTTATTTTTTATTTTTTATTTAATATTTTCTATCAAAATTTTCAAATAGCTGGCTTTCATGCACAAGACTACTCACATTAATCTACTGTATTTAAAAAAATTATTTTATTTCAGTGTTAATTCTCAACCTTAATTTAAACTTTAAGATATAAAGCAGCATATGTTACTGTTTATTACTAGATTTAACTAGAGTTAGGATTCGAATCTGTTTTGGCAGAAAATCTGGGGTGAAGGAGCCTGTATGAATACAGGGACACGGAAAGGGAGTCATTTAAAAAAAAAAAAAAATTAAAGGTAGCCATTGGAGGCGGCTTGTAAAGCACTAAAGCGGAGAGTGTTAATCGAGAACATGAGGCGCGTGTTGCGTGTGCATGAGGTAAAGGAAATTTCAACGCCTGTTTTTCTAAGCTGAACTTTCAACAAGGCCTCTTTCTCTGATTCTTTGGAATTTTGGGGCTCATTAATATTTACTATTTTCTAATCCTGCTTTTATTTTTTATTTAATATTTACTACAAAAATTTTCAAATTGCAGGCTTTCATACACAAGACTACTCACATGAATTCGCTGTGTTAATTTATTGTATTTAAAAAAAATTAATTTACTTCTAAATCTTAACTTGAACTAGAGATATAAAACAATATTTGTTATTGTTTATTAAGTAGATTTAACTAGATTTAGGATTTAAGTTTAAACTTTTCTTTTTTAAACCAAAAGATTTAATTCCTCGCACGCTTCTATCATATAATTACCATTCAATTTTTTATTACAATACAGAGTATTTTATTTAAATAAAAATTTTAAGATTAACAAAAATAATCCCCATGACATGTCACGAAAGGGTGAAAATAAAGGGTAGTGATATAAAAATAATATTTTTAGATAATTTTTTATATAATTTTTATATATCATTTAATAATTAAATATATTAAATATTATTAAT